AATATTTTAACTTCATAAGGTCAGTAGGAATTCATGACATTGTTTTTCATAGCACGTAGAACTGAATTCAAATGTTTATTATTGAAATATGTAGGTATAAGATACTAATACGAGTGAGTAATAGATTTTTTTCAGTCTTGGATTTCTTAAATATCGCAAGAAGCTAAACCCGTTCGTTACTTTGGATTCCTAACTAACTATTGGCTCTTTCTTCACGTGATCGAAATTACCGAGTCCTACTGGGCACCATTTGGAGCCGGTAAAAATAAGCAACTAAACTGGTGGGTTCGTTTATTAAAGTGCAAGTGTGGTGATTAAGCAGAAAGTGGCAAAGTGCTCATACGAACTCGAGAACCGTATTGAGGCTGTGTTCTGAAGTGTTATGAAGGTAAGTTCTATGAGACTCAAAAATTACAGTTTCGATCTGTGATTATTCTCTGTCAGAATTTCGCAATAGTAAGCTGTACTTTACCTTGCCAAATTTTCTCATACGACTTGCTTTTCAACCGAAACTTGAAAGTCTTGAATGATTAATTCATGCTAGAATTTGTGACGATCTTAGCATTTAAGGTGTAAGTTGTAAACAGAGAGTATTATTATTATCAAACCGTCTCTCTGTTATCTATCTTCCAAAGTTATGAAGTTTAATATTAAATCATGTTGTCAAATAATAAAGCGTACAAAATGTATGTTTATATAATTATAACTTATAATTTTGCTCCTAGATATTTTGTAAGACAGTTGCAAATTTGATATATGAATATCTGAAAATAATTCAGTGATTTATGTTCGAAGAATGTTTAACACACGCACACATATATATATATATATACACATACGTATATGTGTGTATAAAACGTAGAATTGTTACATGGGTTGCTTAAGCCTTAAGGCATGGTTACGATGCTAATGTAGTAGAAAGACTAGGTTGTTGACCTGACTGTGCAAAGATTAAATGTTACAAAATCAACAGTGAAAGGCAATGCTAAATCAGAAATCTAGAGTGAAATATTAATTGTCACTGAGGTATGATGACGTATCCTTAAAATGATATACTGTTATTAAAATAACTATTTTATTTAAATTCCCCTTAAACGTGGAAGATCTGAATTCGAAAAGTGCTTGAGTTATCGGTCTTATCATTTTGTGATTCATCTAACTTTGGATCCTATGTAGTTTCTTGTCATCCTAAAGGAACAAAAAGTAGGTTATTTCAGCTTCCTTATTTTCTTAATATTAATCACTACACTACAGACTACAGTAAGAAATACGAAGAGTTTGTTTGTTTTTGAATTTCGCGCAAAGCTACACGAGGGTTATTTTCTCTTGCCGTCCCTACTTTAGCAATGAAATATTAGAGGGAAGGCAGTTAGTTATCACAACCCAACTCTTGGGCTACTCTTTTACTAACAAATAGTGGGATTGACCGTCACATTATAACGCCTTGCAAGGTTGAAAAGACGAGCATGTTTGGTGGGACGGGGATTCGAACTCGCGACCCTTAGATTGTGAGTCAAGCGCCCTAACCACCTGGCCATATGAAGAGAAAGGATTATTTTTAATAATCTTAATTTAGAACTTCAGTTAAAGTTAATTCAAAAGCATTGTAATTATACTCGAATTCGCTACTCAGATAGTAAAACGACAAGACTTTCTGGGTTACACAAGCTCTTGAAGCAAAATGTCTGTCAATGATAGTGTCATAAAGGTGAACGTTTGTTTGAAGTTAAGCACAAAGCTGCACAATGGGCTATATGTGCTCTGCCCACCACGGGTACGTTTGAAGGTAAGGTCAGTGTTGTAGATTGAAATAAGCCCGTTATTTTAAAATTCATCTAATTTCATGAATTATTACAAGCATATTTTTATTGTTCTTCGAGAAAAAAGAAGCTTAATAGGGTTAAAAATCGTTTATTAAAACGTGGTAAAAAATAGAAATACTAATATAGAGTAGAAATAGAAAGTTTATTGACACATTTGATGCTAATAACTTAATACTGAAAATATAATTGGTAGGTTTATCTATTTGTTGTTAAGCACCAAGCTGCACAACGGGCTATCTGTACTCTTCTCGCCGAGGATATCAAAACCCCATTTTTAGCCTTGAACCGAACCTTATGTGACACGTGCTGAACGTTCAAGTCAAAGATGTTAAAGTTCAACCACAACTATACATAATTTAGAACTGCTGCCCAGGGGAAGAGTAAGTAGCAGCTTCACCCATTATTCTTAACCGAGTAGCGGGACTTGGTCTTCAGGGTTATAACGACCTCACAGCTAAAAGTGCTGGGCGTGTTCAACGACATATCGCGGCTCAAATCTTACACCTTCTGTTTCACAGCCAGACACGCTAACTACTAGGCCATGCCCAGCTGAATATTTATTAGTTACAAGCAACGTTAGTTGAATTAACATATAGTGTTTTGTAATCTCTCTCTCTCTCTCGCGATCCGTCCCCCCGGTGGGACAGCGGTAAGTCTTCGGATTTACTTCGCTAAAATCAAAGATTGATTCCCCTCGGTGGACACAGCAGATGGCTCGATGTGGCTTTGCTATAAGAAAACACACACATACTTTTTCGATCCAAACTGGTTATGATATTTCGTTTAAATAATTGAAAATTGTGTCCTGCGAGTAAAATACAAAACTCTTCAAAAGTTTGTTGTTGATGTATTGATTGTATATTGGGGATTTAAGTTTGTACGATGATTTTTTTGGTTTCACTGTATCTTGGATACTCACAGGCAAGACTTTCTCATTCTTATAATATAAAACTTAAAATCATAAATAATATTTCAACGTTATACTTTTTATTTTAACTTTATACACAAGTGCCAAAATACTATAATTAATATAAAACTTCTTTCTTCCTGTATACTCTTGCACATCCTACTAAGTTAAAATACTGTATGACGATTAACACTAACAGATTTTTATCAGATGTTTATCAAATGGTCCTAAATAGTACATTTTAATAAACAAAATATTGTTTTATAAAAATAAAGTATAACATTGGGAGAAGTGAAATACCGTAAGCAATTCAATTAGGCGTTTTATTTAAACTTTAAAGAGAACTGATAATAAAAGAAGGACGTTTTTTTTTTTTTGCAAAATAACTTACAGAAGAAACCACTGAAATAGTTATGAATGTTCTATGAGAATTTTTTATACCTTTTTAAACAATCTTAAGTGATTTAGAATCCAACAACGTCGACGAGTACTTGAAGCATTAAAAATAATTGTTAACCAGTCCTACAACCAATGAACTAAACATTTTCACACTATAAACAAATAAATAATAATGTGCCGTGACTAACGGCCTTAGCACATTAAATCATACGGTTGGATAACCATCAGAATTGCGTACGAAAATAAATAGAGCAAGATGTTTTGGAAAAGAAAAAAACTTATGCATGATGGTCATCAGTTTACCTCTTACAGTTAATCTTCTTCAGTTAAAAGTTGCATGAAGCAACGTATTTAATTTATTAATATACGAAATATTACTAGTTATCAATTTGTACCCTAACTGCAGATACAAAGCTTCAAATACTTTTATAGAATTATAGTTAACTAACAGACGTCAAACCTCAAATAAATAAGATCAAATTACATTGGTAGATTTGTGCTCGAATTACTAGATTTAAACTAACTTCATTAAGCGGTGGGCAAAGAACATTATTTCTTGAGGTGATATATGAAAGAATTTAAACGATTGCTATTTAAAATCATTATTGTAAGTTGTGAACAAGCAAATGCAGTTTTTTCTTTATTATTTTACAGAGTCGATATAAACTTTAACCATTGAATGTTTGTCATCAGATTCTGTATTTTTACAGACTATGTTGCCGTTACTACTCGTGGGCTGGTTTGTGACAGTGGCAAATACACAAGGTAATGTACACTAGAAAATTTTGGTTTCAGGAAACTATACGAAGAATATTTTAGTTTTCATGGTTTGTGTAGAAATGTTAAGCTGTGTGTTTCATGTCAGTTCCTCTTAAATGTGACTTTAAAATACCATGTGTAAATTTCTTTGTATTTGTAATTGCAATATCCGTTAATATTATGTATAGCTAATATGTAAACAAAACCTATAAATTAAGTTGAGCTATCTAGTGAACTCCGTTATAAACTTCAAACCTCGAATAATTCTGGTATGGTTCTAACTGCATCACCTTTTCTGTGTGTTTTTTTACCCTACTGTTTCTCATACTCTTAGGAATTCAGTTGTAGCTGGATGCTAAACACGCAGTTTCAACATGTTCATTACAGCTTTAATCAGTAGGTGATAATGATAAGAACGAAATTAGGCGAACTTGTTTATTAATGTCACAGGCTAGAAAAATACACGTTCTACTTCAGCTTGTGTATACGGAAACAATCAAATGAATACTGAACTTTTTTCAGAAATGAAACTTATTTTTGATCTTACATGCTTTCAGAATACGTCGACGATATCTATGTATATTTGTTTGTGAGAGAGACTACATGAAAATACTTTTTCCTCGCTTTCAGCCGTGGAGACGTTATAATGTGACCGTCAATCCCACTTTTCGTTGGTAAAAGAGTAGCCTAAGAGTTGGCGGTGAGTGGTGTTACTAGCTGCCTTCCCTCTTCTATCACTTCTAAATTAAAAACGTATATTGCAGAAAGCCCTCTAGTAGCTTTGTGCAAAATTACCAAAACAAGCAAACGAAATTTATTATTATTCGTATAATTACATTATTAGTCCACCATTGATAACAAAAGTTCTTTGTTTTCTGATCGTGCATGACGTCCCTAAACTCCAGTATATCAAAGTATGCTTCCTTGAGCAAACATGTTCGGTGACGGGATTCGAACTCGCGATCCATAGATTGCGAGTCGATCATCCTAATCACCAGGCCATACCAAGCCCTATAATAAGGAAAAGGGTGCCTTTTACTCTTCATATTATTACATTTTCGCTATTACTTTGAGTAATTTATTGATTTCAAATACAGACAAATATTTTGAAGATGCCTAATCAAATATTTACTCATGAATTTGAGATTATTGAAGCTGTGTGTGGTAAGCATTGAGAGAAGGAAGCGTGCTTACCCGTGACCTATGGGCACAACACCACTGACTAAGGTTATTCAATGTTGTTACATTTCGATCTCTGCCATCCAAAGTTCGCTAGATCTTCTGAATGTTGGTAAAGTTAATTCAAGTAAAAACAATCTTACGACAATGGACGTGTATGTCAGTATCTACATATGTAACTAAAACTCCTGCGCCATCTACTGAATGGCACTACAAACAAAAATCCATTAAAAATTCACACCTTGGGTATTCCAGATTCAGACAATTATAAGAATAACTGTTATGTTCAACAACCGTTTCTTTATAATAGAACATAATTTTAAATAAAAGTACTCGCCTCACAACAAGAACACGACTTTCACTAGACTGTATGTGAGAGTTTGATTATATCTTTATTGATGTAATTTTTAAATATAGTACTGAGAAACTGGAGTTATTAAAAAATACTATTATTTTTTTCAATAAACGGTACCACTTTTTATACATAAAAGCGTTATAGTTTATATCATTAAAATTTATGAAAATTTTGAGCTCTGTACATTGAATCATTTTGATGCAATGAGTTGCGTATGACTAAAAAGCACAATCCGAACACTTTTCCAGTCCAGTACTTCCCCCCCAAAAAATCCCTTTTGTTTTTAGAAAATGTACACTTTTTCAAATTTTTTTCCAATGAGGTATGAATACTATGATTAAACAAACATTTGCCCATAGGGCGGCGTTTCTGTTAGTAATAGATAATTGGTATTAAAATTACATAAATACAATTATGTTATTAATCCTTATCCTAGTTCTGATTTGTAAGTGACTTAAATACAATTGATAATAATTACACTTACTCTGGCTCACACCATAGCAGTTGTTGTTCATGCAATTGTTAATATAAATAGTGTCAAGCCCACTACAATGAGTCCTAACAGTGGCGAGAGGGCTCGTCAGCACTGGACATAGCAGACATATTATTACGCATTACTTTTTTGCTTTCACTCATAAGTTGTTGATATTTTATTCATCTGCTGATTCTTATTTCATAACACCTGTTATGATCAGGAGTTGTATTAAGAAATGAATAATTTCGTGTGAAAAAGTTACATCTGATAATAGTGGTTCAGAAACATCATTATTAAAGTTACTTAAATTATAAGACTGACTAACGTTGAATTGTTGCGGTGATGTGATGATTAACCAATTGACTGTTAAATATTCTTTAGCGACACATTAAAAATATATATCCAAGGAAATTAGAGCCAGTTTTCATTGCTTTTGTACATGATAGACCCTCGATATACCTCTCTTCACTACCTATGAAATCGGTACTGACCCTGCACCGAACAATAATAAGTTTTATTCAGAAATGTGTATAATTTAGGGGGTACAATTGTATCACCCCTGCCTACGCACATGAAAATGATACCGTTATGTTAATTCAAATACACAACTTATTTATTACATAGATGTATTGAAATATCAAAAATTTAATTCATCTAATATAGTTTATAGCGTCAGAAAATTGACAGTAGTATTAATATGCCAATTTTAATAAAACACACTTTAATGTCACCTTAGGTACAGTCAAAGATTCTAAAAAAATTGTGTGTTACTATACCAACTGGTCGCAGTATCGACCGTCGATCGGGAAGTTTACTCCCGATGATATCAACCCTTTTCTATGTACTCATATCATATTTGCCTTTGGCTGGATGAAAGACAACCAGTTGACAGCTCACGATAGCTCTGATGAATCTCGAGATGGGAAGAAAGGTCTTTACGAAAGAGTGACAGATTTGAAGGAAGTAAATCCAGCTCTGAAGGTGCTTCTGGCTGTTGGTAAGAAAAGCTTGCTAAGTCTGAAATACACGTGTTTTACAGTTATTTATCGAACACATTTTAAAACGTTGAGAGGGTTGCATTTACTAACATGCTTTAAAATAGCTTTATAGTTAGTGGTTAATGCTCTTTATGAAGAGTAATTATTACCCAGCTAGATATCCTTTGATTAGGTCTAACCTAAGATCCTTTAAAATAAGTAACTCAATATTTTTTAACTTCTGGAATTTTCTAATGTATTCAAACTGATGATGACAGAACCTTGTCGAATTTGCTGTTATGTTAAACTTATATTAAAGTTTTTCTTCATTACCCATTCAAGCTGTCTCCAAGCATTCTTTTTCTAATGTATGTTTTCTTTGCCAGGTGGCTGGTCGTTTGGCACTCAGAAATTTAAAGCTGTGTCTTCTAATAGTTTCAACCGAAAACGTTTCATTTTCAGTGCTTTGAAATACCTTCGTCAAAGGAACTTTGACGGTTTGGAACTGGATTGGGAATTTCCCAATAACAATGTAGACAAGCTAAACTTTCTAGATCTACTGAAGGTGAGTCTAACGTGATGTAACATTAAATTGTCTTAATTTCTGTCTAAAAAAGTGTTTTGAAAACCATTTTTTTATGTGAATTGATTACAAGTAAGAAAATGTCCTTAATCAATCTATTAATTTTTTTCATTTAGTGACGACGGTGTTCTGATAAATAGAGTTATTTAAGTAACTTATTACTGTAATAATGTTACGTTTGTCAATATAGAGGTATTATAACGCATTAGATTTTTAATGGGAGTAATAATATTAGTTACTTTCCGCAAAAAAAAGGAGTTCGTTTCGTTGATTTTCTACACCTAAATTAGTGCTCTTCACCTTAATAAAGACAAAGTAATATTTTAATTTCTAAATTATAAGCAAGTAAAATATCTAAACGATGTGTCAAAATTTTCTTTTGAGTCATTGTCAAAGACCAATTTCAGAAAACAGTTCACAAAAGGATTTTCGTACAAGCTTTATTGGGACTGTCTTAATTTCGTATTTATCTGGCTAACTGCGCGCCTGATCACTGTTCAATGAGATTGATATATATTTAATAAATTAATTTATGGACGTATAGTTAAACAAAGTAAATAGCCACAACAATTGTTTTGCAGGAAAATGGAAGAGAAAGGCATGTAATAAGTAATATAATTTGCTACTTTTTTATTAACTAATATGTCAGGGCGTAACATTAGTTTTTGAATAAAATAAAACATGTACACACTTCTATATCGTTCTTGGAACTTTGCATTTCAATATAAAAACTACAGTATACTACACACTGTTACTGTCATATATGGTTTACGTCAGTTTATCGTTCTTGTAACAATGTTTTTTATTGATCATTTCGGCAGATTTCCACCTCAGACAGTGGTAGAAACTCTAATTACTTTTAATGGAACCTAGTATTTTAATGTAAAAACTATAATACACTCTACAGTGTTACTGTCATGTATGGTTTGTGTCAGTTTAGTTTTATATGTTATTTACAGTGGTTGTTTTGTCAGCAGCCTTTAGTCTTTATCAATTTTTTGATGTTGACATAAGGACCTAGCGTAATATAAAAAATAGTTTTGTTTTGAAAATAAACATGTGAAACACCTTATTTCGCTTAGAAAAATAATGTGATAGAAAATATCTAATATTCGGACATAGCGTTATTTGTATTTAACCACAAAGGCTGCACAATGGGCTATCTGTGCTCTGCCCACCACGGGTATCGAAACCCAGTTTCTAGCGTCGTAAGTCCGCAGACATGCCGCTGTGCCACTTGGGGGCTGGACAGAGGGCATAATAGTTTCAGAATTGAGAATCTAACATTAAATAAACATTTGTTGTTATTCGAATAACTGATTTGGTTCTCCAACCATTGTATATTAACGTTTTTGAAATTTATAGAATGATTATTCTGAAGAACTAATTTCCACATATATTACTCTGAATAATAAATTGATTCCACGAACTAAAGTGTTCATTTTATTCAAGGTTTTAAAACCCATTCCTTAGATAACTAAGACTAAAAATTCTAACCGTAATAGCGAAATATGTGATATAGCGTGATAAACACAGAAATATATTGTGCAGGAATTAAGAGAAACGTTCGAGGCCGAAGCTACAGAGCGCAATCTACCAAAGCTGTTGTTGACTGCTGCTGTTTCTCCTGTCGTCGCAACTATCAACAGTAGTTATGACGTACCAACTATGATTAAGTAAGTACTTTTTACCACTAACACCCACAAATATTTAATCACAACTATATACCAGCATACCCCATTTAACGCCGTTAACGCTTTCCTGAAAAACGCTGTGCTAAACGAAAATCAATTGCCCTTAGGAATACAATTAATAAGAGGAGGATGCGTTTTTGACCAAAACTTTTTCTGGAGATAGAAACTTTTAAACGTGTTTTACGGTATTAATTAAATACTCAAACATTAAAGAAGTATATGAAACATTAAATAAACCTGAAAATACGAGCATACTGGTGTACAGATCATAAAATAATTTAGCCTAAGCCTATGCAATGATTCATGCATTATTTATGTTTTAAGCTTTACACTAATTGCTTTATTTTGCAACAGTTTTTATTTTTTGAACAACGATATTGTACTCTGTTATCACATCACATTAGATAAAATTTATTAAAGTTCAAAAAATGCGATCGACAGACTAAAATCTACTTTGTATATTAATCACAATTACTTGACAGTAGCTGTTATTTACAATGAATAGTATACGGTATATAAATACCCAGTATACTGTAATATAATTCACTTTGAAATAAGCACAATTAATACAAATAAGACTGGTATTTGCATAGTACGATTCTACCACGAGACAAACTTGAGCATACGGCGCATCTCACGCATGCGCAGCTGCGTTAGAGATTCCCACATTCTGTTTCTAAACTGCGCTAAATCGAAAATTGCTATCGCGACTGGACGCCTTAATCGAAAAAGTTCCCTACTATGAAAGCCGCGTTAAAACGAAAACGCGCTGATAGAAGGCACGCTAAACGAGGGATGCCGGTATAAATAGTTACATATACTACAGCTCCTACTTTTTATTTACATCAGTGCATTTTCAATGAATGTTGTCTAAGATACCTATTAATCTATTTGCTTGCATGTCTAGACACCAACAACAATCTATTCATCTGTTATGCTTAGCTTTAGGTTATATTGAGTTTTTAGATTCACAGTCCGTTATTATTTAAACATATGTAAGGTTCCTTTTTCATACTCGAAACAAACGAATTAATGCGTAAAGTTTTATAATACGCATTTCTAATTTAGTACAAAACTTTTTCCTTGTGAAGGATCACTAAGTCATTTGAGAGTTAGAAGATTTCAGTGCAATGGTAAGAGTTTATTACCATCAAGTTTTATAAACAAATGAACGGCTTCGGCCAAATGAAGCTAAAAACTAAACCATCAAAACATTTTCAAGATCCAACTTCTCAAGTTTGGGTACCTTGTAGTTATAGTGGGTTAATAAGCCGTTAAGGAATCAAGCGTTAATCTTCTTGTTTCATGAAGATGAATAATAAACAAACAACTTTAAATAACTGAAGAGTCGTGATAGTAGTGTAGTATTCGCAGGTTCACTGATTTCCCCTCGAGTAATCGGAGAGGATTCACAAGATAATAGGAAGTTCGACAATAAATGTTTAGTAGGAATAAATGTGATTTATTCCAGTTTTGACTGAGTTGTGAAAAAAAACGAGACTGGACACAATGTGAAAACAATCTTTATTCAATACAAAAAACACAATCAACATGGAGGACGTTGCCTTTACTAGAGGTTAAGAGGTTTTGGAAGGTATCATCATACCCACCAGTAGAAAATGTCGCTGTTTACTTTTACATGGCGTGTTCCACTTTATAGGAATCTTTCTCACGAGAAAGTGCATGTGATACCATAGGAGAATGACCTGGAACAACAGTTAACTAACGTGAAAGGATCCTTGACCAATGTTCTACTTTAAACCTACAAACACTTATATAAGTGAACAAAGGGTGTAGAAAATACCTAGTAGGCTGTTAGATGATAAAGTTTAAATTTTGGGTTTGATGTTGTTGAGCTAAATGATTGTTGTCCAGACAAGTATATCCTAAACATCTTAATTTAAAATCTAAAAAGTAACTAAATCGTTATTTTGTCCAACCATACAATTTTTTATTGTTAAACCGTTTTTTCAACAATTCTAGAATTGTAATATTAGAGATTTAAATCTTATGGCAAAAGTAAATCTAATAATCAATTCATTTCACACACAATACTTCCTGTGTAATTTTTAACCCAATATAGGGCATCTATCTATCTATACATACATACAAACAAACACACACACGCACATATGTAATATTGTGTATTTTCTGAAATATATTTATTTTTCTTATCTTTACACAGAAGCGTCGCTAGTTACTTAAAAGATTCGGGGCTCGAGCCCATAGGGCGTAAATCTTCGACGTTTCTGTATGATACCTATCATGGTTTACTATTCTGATTTTTCAAGACATATACTAGGGGTTCGGAGCATTGTCAAGAAGAATCAGGGCAGGGAACTCACGTGCCCGTGTCTAGCGACGCTTCTGTCTTTACATATAATTCGTTTAATTTGTTTTTGTTGAACGTATTCATCAGATACCTGGATTTCGTGAATATAATGACATATGATTTTCACGGAAAGTGGGAGACTCAGACCGGACATCACAGTCCTTTGTATCCACAAAATGACGAGGCTGAATGGTCGAAACAGTTATGTGTGGTACGTTTTACAAATTTAGTCATTTTGGTTATTTTAGCATATAAGCTATCAGCCTATTAATGGCTTATTTCAACAAATATTTATAAAGCTAAGTGAAGCTATAGAAATTATGAAAATCATCTTCATGGGTATTTTTGGGGGAATATTTATCTTTTATTGTACAGGAAAGAAACTTTAAAAATAAACAGTGTAGGAATAAGTTAAGTTCGCACTCCTCCTCGTTTTATAGAGCGTGATAAGTATTTCATAGAATTCGTTTCCATTTAGGATTTTTCAGCCAAGGTTTGGGAACATTATGGTGCCCCAAAAGACAAAATTGTAGTCGGCATGGTAACCTATGGTCGCAGCTTTACACTTGCAGACCAAAACAACAACGGCTTAAATGCCCCCACGGTTGGCGGAGGAAGTCCTGGAGAGTACACAAAGGAAGAGGGTTTTCTGGCTTACTATGAGGTATTATTCAAAATTTCATGTAAAGAAACGATTTATATAGCCAAACATGAAAAGCATACCTTTTGTTTTAACGAGTGTGTTTTTGTTAGTATGAAAGTGGATATTTTAAAAATAAACTTATCCAATAACCTTTCTCATTTCAATATCTAATGGTAACATTTAGTATTTTTACACGTTTTAGGAAAATTAATTAGAAAGATTGAACTTTAAACCAAACAAACAATACTTTTGGCTATATCCTATTTGGAGAACAAATTTGTTTTAGATTTACTATAATTTAAAATCTTTGTTTTCTCATCACCAAGTCTACTATTATGTTGTAATTTTAGAGACAGTAATGTTAATTTTGATACGCACTAATAACACTTATTATCAGTAAAGTTACAGACACGATTTTATCAAAGTATTGGGATAGCCACTCTCGGCTAGTAATAGGCTCATCCCATGTCACACTGCTATGTAGGTCAGCACTGCCAAAGTCAGCTAGTTATAGCTATAAAGGAAGCACTTTCATATATCCAGAGGGATGATTATTGAGTACACTATAAGTGGAAGAGATATGTTGCCTGCCTACTCGTTCTCGGCTTAAACACGCTGAAAACTTGTATGGAAAAAACATATATGGAATGTTCGCTCTGAAGCCCATAATTATTCTGTTTTTGGTCCATGTTAATTTTGAAATGCATTTTGAAGTGAAACCACAAACCTGGCATTAAACTTGTTATTGGGAATATTAATAAGAAAATTAAAATTGCATACAAGCTGCAAGGAGTTCTATGTTAACGGATTGCACAGATATAAGCTGATTATCACAACAGTGAATGAAAATCACCAGCGCCGTGAAAATATCAGCAACAATCAAAACTGTCATAAATATCAGGTGAATCTCGCTGTCTTTTTCCGAGTATATAAGTCTAAGTGTGATGGTAACCTTGAAAATGCTTTGGATACGAATGTAAAAAACAGCAGTTAATATTATCATGGTGTGAACTTTTTTAACTGGCTTGGACATGATACTACGGCAAAGCTGCACTGTTATATAGAATTAATTCTGTAAGGATGGAGCATACCTCTTTCAGCGTGGAAATGTCCCATGTCTATCATTGGTTTGAGACAAGTAACGTTCATAATCTGTCTTGGCCAACTCAAATTCCAAACTTAAATTCAATTGAACCACTCTTGCACGTTTCGGAATGCCAGTTGAGGGGTTTATAGGACAGAACTCAAAACTGCACTAAGCTCGGATGTTACTCTACAAGAAAAATGGTTTTATGTTTCACCCAAATGGTGGTAATAGTTAGTAAAATAGTCTAGGCTGTGATTAACGACATAGATGACTACACTTTCTATTGAGAAAGGATCATAACGACAACATACGGCATCTTCTTGTGAAGGTGTAATTTCTCAGTATTTTTCAGGAGTGTTATTAAAATTACTTAAGGAAAATTCACTTTTATGCCGGAATGACCGTGTGTGATACTTATGGACTATTCAACATATCTAATACATAGTCGTATCCTGTTACTCTTTAGTCAAACTTTTGTTTTCTAGTTATTGTTTGCTTTGTTTAGATTAGAAAAAGACCTTTCAGTGTAAAGAAACATTGTTGTATTTAACGTCTTTTTATGTTCAAGCTATGATTTGGAAAGCTCAATTTCTGTTTTAGAGTGTTAACTTTGAGCTTTAGTTTGATAATTTCTGTTGTATGTAGTTAAAATATGTTTGCTTTAGGAATAACTTGATCATTGTTTGAAAAGTTAAGATACTTGGACAATTCATTTTCTACTCTGTATTCTCGCCCAGGTTTGCCAAATGCTACAAAACGGCGCTACTTATATTTGGGATGAAGAAATGAATGTTCCATACGCTTTTCTCGGAGATCAATGGGTTGGTTTTGATGATGAAAGAAGTCTCAGACTAAAGGTTAGTATGCAGCTTGTAAAAATAAGGACCAGGTTTAATAGACTATGTGGGAGCAAGATAAGTATTAAGTATGATAATTGTTTAAAGAGGAATTATGATAATAATAGATACTATTAACATGGATAAAAACTACAAAGTAAACGATTCTGTACGATCAGTAGATAGTTTTGATATCTGCAGTATTTAGTAGACAGCTGGGTTAACCTAGAGTAAGGATAAGAAAATAAATATACCGCGAAGTTTAAAATGCATTATTTCATCGAAATAATATTTTGATTTGTTTTATTTTGTAGATGATGTGGTTGAAGGAGAACAATTATGCTGGAGCCATGATTTGGGCTATCGATTTAGACGATTTTAAAGGTTCTTGTAGTTCATCCCCCTTTCCACTTACTAGTATCATAGCTGAGGAACTATTGAACAAACCCACAAAGTCATATTTCTACAACTTTGAACAAGTCCTGCCTTCAGCTTCAGAAACTACGTTGTCTGATGAAAAGGCTGCTGTTACCAACAAGACAGTTTCACAGATCTTTGCATTTATGGAAGAGGAAGAACCAAAAGATCTAGGTAATGAGTATTATCATATAAAAGCTTCATGTAAACCTTTTCACCGATGCCATTTTAATTTTTCTCACTATGTAATCTTTATGATTTAACACTGATTTTGTTAGACATTTTATGTTTATAAGAAACATAATTTGACTCAAAACTTTGAAAATAAATAAATGCCATATTTTAATTTAGGTTAATATAGATATTAAGAATGTATTCAAATATGTAAAAACTTATCAAATTCCTAATCGCAACTTTTTTACTGTTTACAGAGTCCAATGCTCGAATCATTTGTGCTTTTACCAACTGGTCAACTGAGCGTCAAGGAATTGCTAAATTTACACCTAACTTAATCGACCCAAACCTATGTACACACATTATCTATGCTTTTGCTGGGATCAAAGACTTTCAGTTAACACCATTTTATGAAACAGATATAACACATAGTTCAGAGATTGAGCTGTACGACCAGGTTTTAGCACTCAAAGAGAAGAACGAGAAACTACGAGTGTTGCTGAGTGTTGGAGGTTGGATAATAGGCCCTGAACCTTTCAGAGAAGTGACAAAAAACTTGTACAGGTGAGGTGAATTACACTGATTAGTGTAAAAACATCCTTAATGCAAAGGAAAGCTAGATAAATCTTGTTTTTACCAATTATATTAACTTATTCCAATTTTGTTTGAAAAAAGAAAAATACTTCAACGAGATTTTATAAATAAGAGTTTTTAACGTGACTATTTTCCCCCTTAGTCTCTTTATATTCTCTCGGTCGCTTTCTCGTTCTCTAACACACACATAATATACATAATATTAATTCGGCCCTGCATGGCCAGGTTGTTAGGGCGCTCGACTCGCAATCTGAGGGGCACGAGTTCGAATCCCCGTCTCACCAAACATGCTCGCCCTTTCAGCCGTGGGGGCATTATATTGTGACGGTCAATCCCACTATTCGTTGATAAAAGAGTAGCCCAAGAGTTGGCAGTGGGTGGTGATGACTAGCTGCCTTCCCTCTAGTCCTACGCTGCTAAACTAGGGACGGCTAGCGCAGATAGCCCTCCTGTAGCTTTGCGCGAAATTCAAAACAAACATAATATTAATTCAACAGTATCATGTGTAAGTGAGCGAAAGTTATAAGCGCAACAAAAGAATGAAATGAAAAATATAAAAACTTATCCAAGTGTGCAAAGACAAAACATACAAAAATGAAATAAATATAAAAAAATCAATAAAGTCATAAGTGGTGTATAAGTGTTAAAAAGTGCTTTGCAAAAGACGAAACAGTTTAAGTCGTTAGAGGGCCAGATTCGAATAAACAACCCAAGTAAACCTAAAGAGTTCAGATATATTTTAAAATAAAAGAATAATGAGACGTAAAATACAAGATACGAAAAATAAATACAACTAAATAAAATAAAATAAAATAAAAAGGATTATGTTGCTCAACAATACATATATATATATATATATATGTGTGTGTGTGTGTTGCGCAATATATTAGATTGAACAGTAATTAAGAAAACATGCCGTTTACAGCAAATCCCGGTTCATCTACAGTACCATCGAATTTCTTCGCCTATATGGGTTTGACGGGTTGAACGTTGATTGGGAGTTTCCTAGAGGCCTTCTAGAAAAAACAAGTTTTACTGAGCTTATAAAGGTAAGTGCAGGTTCACGCTGCTTTTCAAATAATTTAAGATTCACACTTTACATGGTAAGATTTGAAGGTGGTAATCGGTATATTAGTAAGTTCTGTTCATATTTTTGTCTGTTTTTTTCGCTCATTTCAAATCTTAAGCTACAAAATTCGTGTCCGTATAATCATAAAAAAACGGCTAATAAATTTTGCCCTTAACATCATTATATAATGCAAGACTCCTGTACATAAATCTGAATAACAGAACCAAGCACAACCACTATTCCACTATTCGTTGGTAAAAGAGTAGCCCAAGAGTTGACGGTGGGTGGTGATGACTAGCTGCCTTCCCTCTAGTCTTACACAGATAGCCCTCGTGTAGCTTTGCGCGAAATTCAAAACAAACTATCATGAACAAATTCTCCCTAGCCGAGATTCCAAGAATGACAAGAAGTTGTCAACATCTGCCTATCTGCAGAAATGGCATAAAGTGGCTGCAGCTGTTGTTTTTTATGATACTAGGTTATATACATAATTACCTTCAAGGAAGCTTATGTGAGTCGTATTCTCTCATGAAACTTTTATGGTACTCAATCGAATTTCATCGTGTGTATTAGGAGGTTACCTGTAAAAATGATTAACGAAAAGAAAGATTAAAAGAACGCCGAAGTATCCAACTAGTCGGTGGTTGTTGTGAATATCAAATCAATTTGTATATTTCCCTGGTACGAATTATTGAATGCACAGCTGTACGGTTTTGATATTATATCTATAATATTTGAGACTGACTTTACAATGCTAAATCTTCAATAACTTCACAGAAAAACTTTAAAGAGAATAATAAAAATTAACTCTCAATAAAATAAACTCGATATATTATCTTTTATAATAATTAAAAGTATTAGGGAGCGCACGTTTCAAATATCGAATAGGTAATTTTTGTCTTTCAAATGTCAAAAGTGTCAAAACAAAACTGCAGCAAAATGAGAGCTTCTACACGACGTCTTGCATTACGTGTACTCTCGGCCTCTGACTAGGGCAGTGCTTGCCAAATTGTGTGCCGCAGAAGAGTCTCAAGTGTTAGGTGTGCCGCGTAATGTTTGCAGTTATCAAGTAATGTAAACTTATTATCAATTTAATACATTTTTATAATTTCAAATTTGATTTATTTTCCCAGTGTGGAACTTTTAAAATACTTGTTACGTTGAAAACTTTACCTCTATGTACTTTCAAAACACTTTTCCGCTTAAAATACTATATCTTTTTTGTAAATATATTACCTATTGAATATATAAATTCCGTATTTAGATTTTAGTATGAATTCTCTCTGTCACTTTATCAGGATCTAGATCCTTTTCGGGATCTAGGAGGGTCAGGTTTGGTGCTTCCACCTCTTCCTCCCACTTGCACTGGTATTTTAGTAGCACTGTTAATTGCTGAACATTCCAGAAATGAGAGTGTTGCTTTATACTTTTTATTTGTTTGTTTTTTTAATTTCGCGCAAAGATACTCGAGTGCTATTTGCGCTAGCCGTCTTTAATTTTGAAGTGATAGACTAGAGGGAAGGCAGCTAGTCAACACCACCAACGAATAGTCACATTATAACGACCCCACGTCTGAATAGGCGAGCATGTTCTGGGTCAGAATTTGAATCCACGACCCTTATATTGCGAATCTAATTTCCTAACCACCAGGCCATGCCAGGCCGATACACTTGGTAAGACTTGAAAAAATATTATTTTGACAATATCTTAGTACATAATAAATATTGTTACGACCGAGCTTTCTACATTGTGAATTCGTTTACGATATTTTGGAATAATTTGATGGCTGTTTGTTTGTAATTAAGCACAAAGCTACACAATGGGCTATCTGTGTCCTGCCCACCACGGGTATCGAAACCTGGTTTCTATCTGTGTAAGTCTGCAGACATACCGCGGAATAACTTGAAGAAATGAATAACAACAAAAAGTTATATTTATTTATTATGACTACCCTCTAGTGGCTCAGCGACAAGTCTTGAGACTCATAACACTAACAAAAAAAAATTGGGTTTCTATATTTCTAGGGTAGTATTTTGAATATATTACACCGGCTCTGAGTGGAGACCTAATATCATGGAAGTTATCAGGGAATGATTTTCTTCAGTAATATCTCCTATGTATAACATTGGTAAGGAATCAAAATAAACCGAAAAGAATACAATCCTTTAACAAAATACGCTTATTTAAATAAAAATTATTATTAATTTGGATACTGTTGAGATATTTATTTCAGTTCTCGTACCTTTTTTTAAATCCTATTGACTGCACGCAGCTCTAAACAGCTGACAGCTTACTTGTCAAGTGACACCACTATAAGGATTGCTAGTGGCCCCCCAGTGGCACAGCGGTATGTCTGCGGAATTACAACGCTAGAAACTGGATTTCGATACCCGTGGTGGGCAGAGCACAGATAGCCCATTGTGTAGCTTTGTGCTTAATTTCAAACAAACAATAACTGTAGAGTTACAACCTCAGTAACAACATGAATGATAAGGTATAGCTTACAGTGAGTTATAGAAGTTGAAGAACGAAGACTAAATTGTTTCGCTGTTGTAATCGACGTGTTGGAGATAAAAGTTTAAGATGCGAAAAATCAGGTTGAATGATGCAATATAAGGAAGAAAATACATGTATATGCCAATACAGTTGAACTTGATATAAAAGTTTATCTGACCGATTCCTTGTGTCAGTTGTTTAGTTAGAAACTGTGAATTTACAATAACATACAAAACAAGCAGTAGATGAGACTGGACTTTAATGTTCTCTACCAAAGCTGAATAGTATGGCAACCAAAACAATAAATAATGAGTGAGATACAAGCATTCTAGCACATGTGTGAAGTTAAGATATCAAAGAAGTGATGTTTCGCATTCCAATCATCTATAAGACTGCAAAATGACCGCCATTCTCATGGGAAGATAGAGCTAAGAATGTATGAGAGTAACTTCTATCAAATACATGTCAAACAATACCATTAAAACCCAGAGATATAATATAAGGCTTGTGTCCATTAGATAAATCTTCTTGTCGTGTCCACTCCATTAGAGAAATGTAGCAGTCTCACGGCACAGGTTACAGTGATCAAAAGTGAACACCTTGGTAAAATTTGGAAATATTATCCGAATTTGGAATATAATGATGTTTTAGAAGAGTAAGTATAATAGCTAAGATTGTCAGACCAGTAGGAGACCAACTTTATAGTTCTGTCGTTGATGCTAAGGCCATAACCACTAAAATCAAACTTGCTTGGGATAGTTCCATTTTCTGTATACAAATGTTTTTTTGGAAGTCCTTGTCAAATGACAGTTTACATTTACAATTTTGCGGTTCAGAATAATTGCTTTTTTTTCAGAGGTGAAATTTTCAACATCTTAACAGCTTTTTCATTTTCCTAACGAAACTTTATCTCTTAGTAGTAGTTGATAAAAATGGGCATTGGTCTGAACATATACAATTATGGTAATAACGAGTGCATCCAATGGCTAAATAATATGGACAAGTGTATTTTTTTTGTTTGCTTTGAAGCAGAATGAACAAAGGTTGATAATAACTGGTAAAACAGTGGAGAATGTTGACCTAGATGTTTTTCCAACCAGAAGATGTAGCCTAGAATTTAGCCAATGGCACTTGATATGTCAATTATCGCACGATATTGAAAACATTTTAAGTGGCTATATATATATAGTTGTATATTTACAAAAAAGGATAACTATTATCAACATAATCAATTTTTGATTATGCTCAAATATGACGTGGCCTTAAGTCAGATCGTTTCCCACCCCTTTAAGAATGAAATATCGCTAAATCATTCAAAGCTTTAAAACGTTGATTTCTTTATCTATTACTGGGATGAATGCTATTATCTAGCGAGAAATAGCTATCTTATTAGAAAAATAAAATATTTCATGATATGTACTAAATAAACCATAACTAGCATATGTGAAATTAACAGTACTTTTAAATTAGCCAGTAAAGAATCGCGATCTTTTACGTTATTCAAAGCATAAGCATAAAAATTGTACTGGAAATTACAATTATTTAGCGTAACTACGAATGAAATATCTTGTTGATGATTAAGTATTGAGACCGAGTTTTAAATCTGCGAATTCATGTATAAAATCTAGTAATGAACAGCGAAGAATTTGTTATATAGACACTGAAGATAATACGTGAAACTAGTCCTGTTCATAATAGAAACAATCCAGAAGAGCTCTTGGCAATAACCTAGCTGTACGTACAAGTGTATCTTACTCTTATACACACACACACACACACACACACATATATGTACCTTTTAGAATATAGTACAAATTAATATTAATAGTACAAATATATATGTTGTTTTTTCTTTCTAAATCATATCATATATAGGGAGCTGGGACTTCAAATTTCTATCTTCTCAGTCAACTAAAGCAATAGTTTGTCTATACGTCATCTGCAGTCATGTTTTTTTCTGTTTTAAATAATAAAGTTTGTTCACTTCTGTTCAATTTATCATGTCCTCAAGTTGTTTACCACAGAATCCTCAATATTTAAGGGAGCTGCTGATTACGTTATGTAGTAAGACTACCAGAAGAATACAACTGGGTTATTTGAAAAACTAAAAGTATTTACCTGCATTGATTTAAAGTATCAAACAAAAAGATGTTATGTATAGTTAAATATATGTAGTACCAATAGAATAATTAACTGTATATATAACATTCTTCGCTGTTTACTAGTATGTATAACATTCTTCGCTGTTTACTAGTATGTATAACATGTTTCGCTGTTTACTAGTATGTATAACATGTTTCGCTGTTTACTAGTATGTATAACATTCTTCGCTGTTTACTAGTATGTATAACATTCTTCGCTGTTTACTAGTATGTATAACATTCTTCGCTGTTTACTAGTATATATAACATTCTTCGCTGTTTACTAGTATGTATAACATTCTTCGCTGTTTACTAGTATGTATAACTACGGTCACAGGTTGATGGTTTTCACTGTGAGTGGTTGCCATCAAACCAATCAGATGATGCCACACCAGCAAACTGCCTATAAATGTAGAGATTCATACTATTCACAGAAATAGCATGGTGAATGTATTCATTGCTATGAGCACAGAAATGTCGTATGATCAAAGAATAGAAGTCAAAGTTTTGGCTGGCAAAAGCTACTTCATGGATCAGATTGAGTAAACCTGTGCTCTTGTAGAACGTTTTTAATGTAAAGATAGGATTTATCATAAGCTATTTGTTCTACATATTGGACTTTATCAAATAACTATACAAATGCTACTTGTTTATGATTAGAATGTTGAATAATCCATTGTCTATTTAAGTATCACTAACGAATGTGCATGTATGTTGCCGAGTTAACAGTGTGATAACCTTCTCACATTTGTTAAAAATTATTAAAAGGGAAAAGTAAGTGGGAAATATAATATACAAATGGCAAATTGCTAAAAAAAAGATATAGGCACATTTAAACTATCTATAAAAATGCGTGTACAAGGGAAAATGATACGATTTATAATGGGGAGAGTTGTTCTTTTCAGCTAACAGCGAGCTTACGACCAGACCTTAAGTCATAATCCACTTCCACTCCCTATAGAAATAGAGGATAAAGTGGGTATAAAATGCAAATATTATAAGATTGCTTTCCATGTATTGTACGTAAATAAACTGCACCACAAGAGTCTGATAACTTCTAGTATTACAATGTGCGCAGAAGAAAAGTTGGAACTAACAAAAAATCATTCATCCTACCAGTACTGAATTTATTAAGATAAATGCAAAGAAGAAATTCTAAAATGGCAGTAGACCTCCTTTCAGAGGTGGACATGGCCTTGACTAGTGTATTAGCCCATTGTATCCCCTTTCTAGGTCCATTGCAGCCTCTCTTTAAGACTTACATTCTAATGCTGTCCGATCTTTACGTTTCTTTCACTTCTCCAATTCTTACAAGAGTATATTCCAGAACATGAATCTCCTCTCAGTCTGTAAATGTCAGCACTTCCATCAGTAAGCCTCTCTTACAAAATCAGTTATTGCACGATAATAAGAGAGCACAGGATAAGATCTGCTCTTTATTTAGTTCTATACTACTGTAAAGCCCTTTTATATGGTTTAAGATCCAAAAGACATCACATGATTATCTTTACTATTTCTGTTAACCTTGTTAAAGGAAATAATAGAGTTAAGTAATGATTTAATTTTCCACAACTCGATGTCATTAGGGGTATAACAATGCCCGCCTTCTTTAAATTATTAAAATTTGTCACCAAATAATCGAATTTCTTTTTCGATGGTTGTCATTATGAACAACTTCATGGTCGCACCATGTTTAGCTAATTTGTTTTTAAATTATCACGAAAAAAAAGTGTTTAGAAAACTGTTCTGAACAGTTTAAAACCTTTATATCAGAGAGGATACGTTGATGATACATTTGTGGTGTTTAATAATACATTTGATTTTCATGAATTCCAAAATGATTTGAATCATCATCATATTAATATTACGTTTGTGAATGAAGAACAAACTACAAACACTTTACGATTTTTAGATACTAAAATAGTATACTTAGGAATAAGCTTTGAGACTAAGTGCTACTATAAACCAACATTTACCGGACAATATTTTCATTTGATAGTTTTTACCTTTTGAATTTAATAGGAATTTTTACCCGATATATTAAATTATAAGCTATAATATAGTTCGTTTTTTTCTGGATTTCATGAAGAAGTGAAAAAATACAAAGGTTTTTTTTACAGAAAAATAGTTTTCCTTTACAGTTGCAAAACTAATCAGGGTCAGACTAATTCATTTTTATGTCGTATTTACAACTGTTGTTACTTATTTATTTAGGTCTTATTATCATTTTGATCTTTCTCCTATCTTATTATCGTTTATAGATTTTGACTAGTTTTTAGGACTCAACTATTTGTTATTTCCGGCTGTTAGCTCTGTGCTCTTGTGAATTTTTTGGTTAAAAACAAACAAACAAAAACGCCTACTCTATAAATTGACCATGTATGTAGCGGATAGTTAAAGTCGGATTAATATATTATTTTTCTTTTTATTACACGTAATTTGATTATTCTAATCAGAATATTAGTATTTTAATATTTATTGCAAACTTATTATCCATTTAATTGCTTATTTATTATTAATCATTTTTCTTCATAAAAATTAGGTTTTTGCCGTACTACCTGTTCCGTCCTATTATTAGATTCTGTAATAAAATTACTATGACACAAATTTACCATTTATCTCAGATGTTAAGATTTCCTGAAGTTACACAGTGGAGGCAATTTAATTGGCTTTCATTGGCTGGAAGGGAGAATATTAAATTTTGCATAAACACAGAATTAGTTTTACATTCTGTGCTTTCTTTATTATTATTTTCATAAATGATTGATATACATAATTATTGTATTTGTCACTTTTAATTTTTGTATTATTATGTAATTTTAGTGTTTTGCGTTGTTAGCTACGTCTATGGATTTAGGACTATGCCCAAATCTCCTAAACTGGCTGAACCTTGTGAAATATTATTAGAATTACAGCGAAAAATATCACTAACAGCTAGAGTGCCAAACTGATGAATCAACTATCTATGTTGATAGCTTTCTTTGATTAGAAGTTGATAGTAAATCTTAAACATACCAGGATATTATAGTCACATGGGAACACATTCCCTGCTCCATATCAGGATATTCTAGTCACATGGGAACACATTCCCTGCTCCATATCAGGATATTCTAGTCACATGGGAACTCATTCCCTGCTCCATACCAGGATATTCTAGTCACATGAGAACATATTCCCTGCTCCATACCAGGATATTATAGTCACATGAGAACATATTCCCTGCTCCAGGAGAACTGGAATGCAAAACAGTTATACATTTGTTCCACTTCATACATGTGAACTCCTAAATATTATATATATAATGAATACTTAAACAGTCAAGCAAAATAAAATCCAAAGAAAGGACTGCATTAAAAACAACAAATCGAAACCTATGATAAATTACATTTAAATGAACAAAACAAGCCCAACAAAAAAAGGCAATTAAATTAAAGACGCTGAATAAGCGAAAAGGATCATCAGGGTACAGGCTATAACGTGGGATATAAAATGTAACCCTGGGTTTTAGAAGTGACTGCGCAAGTACGACCCACATTGCGGTGGGGATACACTATCTGTCATTCTTAACCCCCATTTGCCAGTCTCACATGAAGAAATTCATAAAAAAATCAAATAAAGTAATCAAAAGAAATATAATAGGAGAGCCCAAGCCCACAACGTCCCACATCTATATTACCCTTCACTGCCTGCAGACAGTTGTGGGAAGGGGACTGTTCTCCAAAGTAAAAGAAAAGAAAAAACGAAATAAGACACCACTACTTGGGGGTAAGTAAGGTAAACTTACCTCCTGAGGTTGGCATTCCAATCCCCATTATAGTAGTAAGGCACTAATTTAACTTATTTAGTAGCAGAGTAGATCAATTATACTAGTATAAAGTTATAAAACCCAACCAACTTATCGTAAAGGGGGGGATAAAGATAACAACGAGTAACTCTACTTTGGAAGACATAAATTAATCTAATTACTAAAACATATTGATCAATCTCATTGAATTATAAATGGAGAGAAACCTATGCAGTATGTCTGAATTTAAAACAAAATAGATAAATGTCATAGTGATTTTATTTCGAAAAAATTTGGATGGTTATTAGTGTAATCATATGTATGAAGTCGCAGGTGGACCGAAGAAATCTGACACTGTGGTTGTCAGTTAGTGTAATACAGATTTTTGTAATTTAATAGAAGCTGGTATGCTTCTTTCTATTATACTTTCCCCCTAAATACAAACTTTATATATGATTTTTAAATATATACACATGTACACTTATAGGATTTGAATCCGGCTGATCTTCTAATCGGTCTCTACTCTTCAGAATATCTATTTGGTTTTACATGCATTTCTGTGATTAATAAGATTAGTGTTTGATTTCTTTACTCTTGTATTTCATAATAGATTTAATATAGATCTTTTCTAAACACTATCAAAGGAATTTAATATTATTATTACACATCTAATTTGTAAACTATTTAAATCTAGTTTCTCAACACTTATTTCTGTGTATTGCCAATAGGACTTAAAAGAAGCTTTTGAAGGAGAAGCCAAAGCTTCTAAGAAACCACGTTTATTACTCTCTGCCAGTGTACCTGGGAATTTTGAAGCCATCACTGCTGGATATGACGTGGAAGAACTTGATAAGTAATATTTGAGTTTCTATTTTGTTTTAATGACTAAACTTTTATGTTACTCCTGGTGGCTCGGTGTTAAAGCTTGAGGGATTGTGTTAAATATGTTTGATATTAGCTTCTTTTCAAAATTAATTGCTCGAATAAAAAAATCCTAACTTTTTTATTTTCCTATAAATGAAAAGAAATAATTACTTAACACACCTAAATCTCTAATAGTATTTGAAACTGAGCTTTAGGTTGTGAAGAAAATGTTAAGTTCAGCAACACTAACAGATTAACTCGCACAATAAATTTGTTTTTTAATTTCCTATTAAATTAACTTTTCAAGGCTCTAGTTACTTAGTACCTTAAAGGCTGTAACCAACTTTTTTGCAGAAAGGTTTATGACCTCATTGGTAAGCTTGAGAGCTTAAACTCTCAAATTCTGGTCTTCATTCCTGCGGTGAGCACAGAACAGATAGTTCAGCGTGTAGGAAACAGGAAGGTCTGTACATTATGACACAAAATTTAGAATGAAAATTATGACTATCTGTTTTGTTTTCTAGATGACTTTGATATAAGATATCAAGACCAGAGGAATAAATGTATGATCATTCTATCTAGATATTTAGACATTTTCAACGTCATGACGTACGACTTTCATGGGGCCTGGGAACACGAAGTTGGTCACAACAGCCCTTTGTACTCATTAAAGGGCAGAAGCAAATATTCAAGTAAACTTACAGTGGTAAGTGCTTAAGACTACCCATAATTCAGTGCTCGGAAACAATATATATTCATAAGTGACAACAAAACTAGCTTAATACATTAAAACTCCAAATTTAAAGGTTATTTTCTAGAATAGTTTTAAGAAAGTCTAATTTTGCAAATGTCATTCTAAATTAATCTGAATTATACATAATTGTATTTAAGAAACGTGTAAATAATAATAATACATTCCATATAAATTCATGTGTGTTTATGTGCTTTTTCTTTTACTCGATATTTAAAATTGCTGTGTTTGAACTTAGTAGCTTAAAGGAATTATTTCAACGTGTCTCAAGAATTATGTAAAAGTAACATAAGCAGAACCTGCTTCATCCTCGTAAATTCCGTAGCGTTTTCTTAGTTAGTTCTTACAGAGTTTTTGAAAGTGCTATCTTATTATCATGTTGTTTCGAAGAGGTCTTTGTTAAAGTTCAATTTTATTTGTTCTCTAAATAACAACAAATTAGTGTCTATATTGTTCGAATGTTCTTTAAAGGATTATGGAGCTACAGAATGGGTGAAGAAAGGTGCCTCCAAGGAAAAAGTAATTATTGGCATTCCAGCATATGGCCGTTCTTACACCCTACAGAAAGAGTCATTGACTGACATTGGTGCTCCAGTCGTTGGTGCTGGTAAACAAGGAAACTATACCCGAGAATCCGGTTTTATGGCCTTTTATGAGGTGATAATAACTTTTCTACATATTGAACAGAGGTTTTGATAAACAATATTTTTTTATTAGACATTTTATCTGTCACACGTTTAATACAAGAGGCAACATACAATACTTAGAAAAAAAAGCGGAGGAGTGTTCAGAAAGATGAGGGATTCTCTTGTCCATGTGCTTGACCTGAGTAGATTATTTCTGACAGATTTTCAAGTTCATAGTTAAGTAAGCAGCACAACGTGTTTTGTTTCTATATTGGATTTGAAGAACGTGCTCTAATGAAGTTCCTAAAGCATATAGCCCTGATCTAGCACCATATAACTTTTTTTGGTCCTCCTGAAGATGATCTGCATGGACAACATTTCTGAACAACAATGTACTTAAAGTGTTTGAAGAGAACAGGATTCATACAATTACGCTTTGAATTAACGACACTGTTATAATTAATATCAAAGAATGATGGAGGAAATGTACCATACTTTACGGCGTCTATGTCAGAAATGATATCTGGTTGCCAATATCCTCAACACCATTGTTGTATTTGTTAATTTTAATAGGATATATATTAGCTTATAGGATATAAATGAACTCGTTATCTAACACCTAAGAAATTTGGTCACTGGAGAGAATCTCATTCAAATTTATCCAATAATTTGATTTATTCTTTTTTTTAAGCTTAGGCTTGAAAGTTCGAATTAAATCAGAAAGGATTCTTAAATACCTGAAAAAATAACTTAGGTGTTCTACTTCATGACATATATAACTTTATTTGAAGAATAATTTCGAAACACAGCTGTTTATAATTAAATAAAGTTCGTGATAAATAATTTAACACACGCTTTGAACAGTAATAATATCATATTCAAATTTTGTTAGATTTTTGAAGTACTTAATTTCTCTTTTGTATAAAGAAGAACGTATTTCTAACAATATAAGTGTCTCCCGATGGCCCTGTGGTTGCTTATAACGCTTCAATTCAAGGTTCGGTCGCCACGACATAGACAGCGCAGGTAGCCCATTGTATGACTTTATGCTAAAACAAACGGATGAAAAATATGAAAGTAATGACTACTCGTTTTTACTCTTGAGTAAAACTCTATTGATTCTTCTACTGTTCATCCTATAATTTAAAACAAAAAATATATTTTCGATGAATGTTGTAATGATGAAAACATTAGTTTTACAATATAGTCAGTCATCAGGAAATAGTTTAATATTATAGTCTGAAACCTCTAACTTTTTAAATGTTATTTGAAATATTAAATAAGCTCTAAATTACTTTTCTGACTTAAGCAGATTTATCACACGTTTTCTAGGCCCAAAAATGTGATGCAATGCCAAAGTATTTGTTTGTTGCGGATATTTGCGTAAAGATACGTGAGGGTTATTTGCGATAGCCGTCCTTAATTTTTGACTTATGGACTAGAGGGAAAACAGCTAGTCAACAGCACCCACCCCAAATTCTTGGGATACCCTAAACGAATAGTGGGATCTGACCGCCAATCTTATAACGTTATCATGACTTTAAAGTGTGGAACACAATCCTGCGACAACAGAACGTGAACCGTAGACCCTCTGATTCAAAGTTTTGCATCCTAATCACTAGACCATTTTTGGTCTGAAAAAGCAACCTAAACTGCTGATTTCAGCCATATAATTTTAATTATGAGTTTTTAGGAAGAAAAAATCAAATGAACAGTATATATTTTAATGGTAGTTGTTTTTTTCTTCTCTGCGTTGGTATATTCATTAAATGGAATAATCAAAAATGTGTAAGCTGCAACTCGCAAAGAATTAACAAAAAATAACCTCTTTAATTATTGAAGCTAAGTGATGTATATAAACTTTGGTTTAGGTGTGTGATTTTATCAAATCTGGAGCCACTCTTATCTGGGACAATGAACAGATGGTGCCATACGCATATAAAGGAAACCAGTGGGTTGGTTTTGACGACATTAGAAGCGTTAAGACTAAGGTGAGTTGGAAAGACTATCAGTGGGTTTGTTTTGAAGACATTAGATGTGCTAAGATTAAGGTTTGTTGAAAGTAACATCAGTATATTGGATTTCATGAAATGAAATTGTTAAAAACTGAACTACAGATAAAGTATCAGCTGAATTTTGTTCATGTTTCATACAAATGCAGTAACTTATTAGCTTCAAAGAAGAGAAAATAAAAGATAGTCAAATATAAAAGTAAGAAACTAAAATGTATATTTTCCTTGACTGATAAAACAGATCCAGTGGCTGAAGCAAGCTGGATTTGGTGGAGTGATGATCTGGTCCTTGGATTTAGATGATTTCCTAGGTTCTTGCATGGGACATTCTTATCCCCTCTTAAAGACAGTGAAAAATGAACTGAGAGGGTATATGGTAGCCAACGTGGAAGTTTTGGATAGTGGAATTTATAACCCTATTGGTAAGTTGTTTGGTTGATGCTTTTACACATTACCAAGTGTTTGTTTGTTTAGATCTACCCTGAGAAATTGAGTATGGGTTTAAAAGTCCATAGATACGTTTTATGTTTAATTCAATTATATAATACTCATTATAATAATTAATTTATACGAGTATGGTTCAGCTGAAAAGTCAATTTCCAGGTTTTTTTTCAATAGGGTTCGATATCTGATAAAAGATATTTCATACTTGGTGTTCTAAACTCTCAAAATTTTCAGTATTAAAGGATTTACAATATTAGTTTTCAAAATGGTATTGAATTAAAGGATTAGAGGCTTTTAAAATTTTAATATTTTCCCTTCAGCTTGTGACGAAGAAGATGGGATCATCTCTTACCATCAAGACAAGGAAGATTGTTCAAGGTTTCATGTTTGCCACAATCAGCAGCGTCATCACATGTCATGCCCAGCGAATCTGGTTTTCAACCCTGATGTTAACCTTTGCGATTGGCCGGGAAATGTGGAATCATGTCTACTAAAGACATGAGGAGTTGGGCAGTTTTATTTACTTTTATTGGAAACTTGAATGTATTAACATCTTCAGGGATGAAACTCTGTAAATAATACTAACCAAAGATATTTTTTTTAGATTTTTTAGTTTTAATTTGTAATTTCATGACGATACATCCCATTTCTTCATATAGTGACAATATTAGAAAAATTGTTAATTTAAAAAGAGGGGAATAGGAATCGTCAAATAAGTACAAAAACAAGTTAAATCCAAATGAAAGTATTATATATTTTCAAGCCTACAATTAGGAACTCTAAAAGAGTGGATAAACACGGCTGGAAATAGTGTCTACATTATTTTCTCAAACTACAAATCCTTATTTTGACTCCATGTCTACAGTACTTATACATTTTAGTGGAGTCAAAATATGGATTTGTAGGTTGAGAAAATGATGTAGACACTATTCCCAGCCTTGTTTGTTTACTTTTTTAGAGTTCCTAGTTTTAGGCTTGAAAATGTAATCTTTGCATTTTGATTCAATTTGTTTCTTTACTTTTTTGACGATCCCTACCCCTTTTTAAATTAACAGTTTTTACTAAAATTGTTTCTTAAGTGTTTTATGCCCATTTATGGGGAATATATTCTAAGCTACATATGTGCAAACGTTTGGTTGAACGTTATATGTTTTTAACAGTTTACTGCTGTATTGGTTTTTTTTTCCACCCAACCACCGCACTGAACTTATTCAAAATAAATAACAAATGTACAATAAAGAATACATGTACTGGTATGTAACTACGACAAACAAAATGTGAAGTTACTTTCAAAGGACCATCTTGAAGGCAAAGATTGTATCATTACAGATTTAATGAGCAGCTGGCCCGGCATAGCCAGGTGGTTAAGGCGCTGGACTCGCAAACTGAGGGTCGCGGGTTCGAATCCCCATCACACTGAAACGTGCTCACCCGCTGTCGGAACTAGGACGCCAGTCTTACTCCCGGATACTCACCTCCAAATTCTGAGAACACCATATGAAACAAAAACAAATGAGCGGCTTCTATCAGTATCACAATGTAATGTAACAAAAGATGAGCAATAACAAAGCAATCTTATCAGAACGGAATAATGTTTCTTCTAAGATAATAGAACACAGTAACATGCTTATCTCATCAAGTCTACATGGCACATATGTATGTTCTTCAACAACCTGCTGTGCACAAGTGTTTCCTAAGACAAGGCAACACAAATAATGCACGCAAAAACAGACAACAGCGACACATTTAGCATAAGTCGTCAATTATCAACAACATTTACAACCGTTATCTTAACACCAATTATATAAAAATAACAATAGCTATATGAAATACTGCTATATGCTGTGATAATAAATACTGAATATTTCAATTAAGTAGAAAGAATCACCACCATCGTCTGAGTAGAATAATCTGCTATGATAATTGTTAAAAACTTTCTGAAATATAGTCGCGGAAATCCACGTAGAGACAGCAAACTCGAGAAAGATGAACAACAGCGAATTGAGTAACGATATGCAACAGCAAAATCGGGAATCTTTCACTTTACAATTTCCAACTAATGCAATAAAAAATGAACGAGCAGTAGTTTCTATCTAACGCACACTCTAGGAAAAGGTGGTTAGGGCTCGCAATCTGAGGGTCGTGGGTTCGAATCCCTGTCCCACCAAACATGCTCGCTCTTTCACCTTTATAATGTGATGGTCAATCCCACTATTCGTTGGTAAAAGAGTAGCCCAAGAGTTGGCGGTGGGTGGTGATGACTAGCTGCCTTCCCTCTTGTCTTACACTACTAAATTAGGGACGGCTAGCGCAGACAGCCCTCATGTAGCTTTGCGCGAAATTCAAAAACAAACTATTATAAAACACTATTGTGGTTCATGATATAGTGGAAGCGGATTAAGTTTAGGTGAAACATTAATTTCGATCATGATGAGAACCATTAACTTGTGTCATCTTGAATAAAGACAATCATACTTTACTATAAATCACAGATAAATAACAAATGTATTATAATGTATAAAGACAATACAGTAATTTTTTTCACCCCTGCCTATATGTTAAGAGATCAGTGCATCTGTGTGAGGATATATTAACTTTTTTTACACGAACCAACTCAACTCGTGCATAAGTTGATTTCAAGTTTTTACGTTATAACATGTTACAGATGCATGTATACATACCTATATTAAATACTGTTCAGTAGTAGAGTTGGATGCAACGTTAAAACATGAAATATAAAAAAATGTGTATGATTGAAGTATTCATTGATATTATTTCTCTAAATGGATAATGTCAGAAAGCACATTTTATATGTCATGATATAGCAATTCTGTAATACAGAGCAATATATAGAATGCAAGGCTAAACTTGGATTTGTCACTTTAAGACCAATAACAACTTTTAAAAATTTTGTCCAGGTTGTTATATATATATAGACCTAAGGATATTGGAAAGGTTAATTATGAATTAGAATTAAGCTTTTTTAACGGAGTCTAAAGTATTAGCTCCTTAATATTTGGCACTGACATACAATTCAATTTCAGATATTTAATTGACAAGAGCTTGTATAATTAAAGTAATAAAGTTTAGCTTTCGGCCAGTAATTGTGTTATTTTTCCCTTTTTAGCGCAAAACTACATAATGGGCTATTTAGCACTGTATGTCCGTAAACTTACTGCTCATCCACGGGTGACTCTGCCTGTAATTACAGTTTCTTGAAAAGCTCTATTTTATCTAAATTGTAATACATATATTTTTGATCGGGTAATTCTTGTAATCCTACTAAATATAAACTTCTATAATTAAGTGAAATTAAGCTAAATGGGCTTATGCTGCTCTAACTGCAGTTTTCATTAGTTACCTAATATAAAAACTACAATTCTTAAGAAGTACGCGAGAGTTGTTCTGATGCATCACTTTCCATTAATTGATAGTTTCGAGAAACATGTTCGTAACTTTTTCATGTGAGTCATACGTCATGAGATATGACTCGAGGACATATTTTGAGTAAAAATCATAGTTGAAACATGAACATTTTTAAAACGTGATCAATGTCAGTGTCGGCGCTAGTTGGAGGAGGGAGGAAAAGGGGACATTTGCCCGCCCATAATGTTCATCAAGGAACTCCCAAAATTTAGTCAAAATCACAAGAATAGTAGCAATGTTAAGCAGATGAAATTTCAGCTTTATACTCCTGCCTATATTTGTTGAGTTATTTTACTCACTAACAAGGGTGGCATGCAATGATTAAAATATCACCGTATCCAGTGCCACTCCCCACCCCCATAACAATGAAACTCTAGAACCGTCCCTTGTAAATGTAAATTGTTTTTCTTTTATGTTACCCTTAAAACTTCAATTTTCATGTAACTTTATAGAAAAGTATGTTACTACATTGTATTTTCTTTTTACAAACTGTATTCAAGGTAATAGTGTGTGTGAGCTCAGCCACTATGATGTTACTTATGAAGCTGTTTAAGCTGAGCGTTTTCTAATTTAATGGGCCATAACTTTTTCTTCATGAGGTCAGAAAAACAATTAGGCTCAAGAAGACTTGATACAAAATGATAAAAAATCTATAATCCGAGATTTTTCGATAGGTGGACCTTTCTTATTCAGGGGCAAACTTCAGGTATTGGTTCTGAAAAGTTAATAGATATGCTTCTATTTTAAGAAGAACACTTATTGCAGTGATACATAATATCTATATAAAAACTTAATGTCGAACTTTCGCTTTGTGGGATTTTAAGTTCTACCACAATCAACAAAACACTTAGCTTAGCCACGCGCTGAAATTATGACACACTTATTTTACTAAAAACAATATGACGGTTTGTTTGATATAGAGAAGGGCAATGGTCAATTTCTTCCTTATTCCCAAAATCTCATTTTTGTAAATTACCCCTCTGTGGTAGTTGTTGTTTGTTATTAAGCACAAAGCTACACAAAGGGCTCTTTCTGTGCTCTGCCCACCACGGATATCGAAACCCAGTTTCTTGCGGTATAAATCTGCAAACATTTCGCTGTTTAACTGGGGGGGGGGGCTCTGCAGTAACCGATTATGTTATCTCGAGTCAAAAGTTTGGTTTGAGAGTTTTACAGTAAGATAAAAGCTATCTCTGAGAGACTTTTTTACAATTGTCAATGTCTCTACTTGTAACATATAGAAGTAATTTAAACATTGAGGGAAACGAAAAATTATCACAAGATTAATGATGGTTACTTTTAATGAACTTGTTTTCGTAGTTATCCCGCAGAAATGATGTTTTCAATACTGGTCTAATTAAATCCTCTTGCACAATTATATCATCTTGCCAAGATGATGGGGACCGCAAGCAGAGAGAAAACGAACTTTTTGGTATGAAAGAGACATCGGATGAATTAGAGATGATAGATTGTTTCTCACAATCTGCTGCACATTTAAGTGAAGCAGCATTTCCTCCATACTCGTATGTATCAGTTGTTCGAGTAGTTTCAAAACGTGAACCATTGGTGACACCTTTTTTCCCGAACTCCGATCAACATTATTAAAGCACTGCGTGGAAGGCGCTGTAAACTGATAACTAGGTACTTTTCTTTCTTCTAGAGAGGTGTGGTAATCACCGATTGGGACTGGTTGAACGTTTTTTGTGGCTTTCAACGTTTTACCACTTTTTCCGTAGTTTGAAGTTAAACAGTATTGTCTTTGGTGTGAGCTGCCTACTGTGGTAGGATGCAGAAGCTCTGGATCTACTTGCAAGCTTTTTCTTAGAGGAGAATACTGTGGGTACATTAATTATAATTTCATCGTTGTTTGGGTGGCCACTTCCAATGATATCCACGGGATACTGATGCGGTGATTTTATTTCTTTATAATAGCTTTCATTCATCTCAGTCGTTTCCAGCTTCTGTTAAATACATCGAAATATAGCAATTTTAGTATTCGTTTCAAGGTGCATTCTGCTTTTCTTCATTTTGAGTAAATTAATAACTTAAAATAATTTTAAACGTTGATATTTTGTCGGGCTTAACCTAGGATCCTCCAAAAACGTAATTTTTAATTTAAATGGTGATGTGGATGGTACAAAAATATATAATGATTGTAGTTGCAAGGTAATTCTTTAACATAACTATTACAAATAGTTATATTCCTCATTTTTTAATTAATTAAAACATATTCAATAAACGTAAGTGGTAAAATATTTCATAAATGGCTATGTAGAATAAACACTACTCGTTACAAAACGCTATTAATAATCAAAATCCCATTTCCTTTTCTGGCCTGGTTTCTTTGTCATTTAACAATTCATATATTAGTAGTATTAAGTCTTTCTGTAGCAATTAATCAGTCCGAAATTATCATAGGCAGAAACAAGGTAAATATAATTCCTTTCAATTCTGCTGGATGCTAAAAACATATCATGCATTTAGTGGAAGAAAAAGGTCTATGCAAATCGTTTTTATTACATAGTGTAACGGACATTTTTGTGATTAATAGTGTGAAATTATTAGAATGTTTTTGCAAACAACTTTTTTAACGATACCAAACATGTTTGTAGATTATACTCAACCTAAATCTGATGTTAACAACTGAAACGAAAGTAATTAGGAAAAGGCAAGAAATATTTAGCATTCTAATGTTTTAAGTTAATGAGTCAACATGAAGAAAATGAGAGTCATAAGCTCTTGAACTTTTCTGTTGTTGCGATGTTTTCAACTTTTTAGATGTTTATATCCATGCTCATTCTTACAAAAAATAAAAGTTAACAAAGTCCAATACTATTATCACGTTGTGCGAAGTTTAACAGTTGCCCTGCTTCTCCTTCCCTTCAATACTTCATTAAATTAATTATAACCATAAAAATTGAAGTACTTATACTTCATAAAAATATCGCAATATCTTATTAGTAGCTATTTCATTCTAATTATCATAAATTTCTTACTTTTATTTCAGCGTGCATCAAACTTCTTTTCTGAGCTTCCAGTTTCTAAAATTAAATATATATAGATAAAAACTGAAATAACCACAGATACCCAATTGTTATCAGATTGAGTGCTACCTTTTGAAAACAAAGCCCTAAAAGATATGCACTAAATAAAACATAACTGCTGTGCATTTAACAATAATAAGCAACACATTATCAAAAGATGATTTATCACATATTATCCTAACTTCTAAACCTTAATGTAAAAACTCGTTGTTAAAGTAACACAGTATCGCGTTGCTTTAATATAAATATTTTGTTGATGATTCAGCATTGAGATTGTGTTTTCAGTTGGTGAGCTGAATTTAAATATAATATCTAGTGACAATTAGAGAACATTTTTATACATACATAATATGTTTTAATTGCAATTAAAATCAGAATAAAATCAATGTCGCTAAATACACATATCTTTGAAAATGACAACTGTATTCTCCAATCAGAGCACGTGGAGGTTAAAAATGATGTAATAAATGTATACTAAATAAATTAGTGTTGAATGATGAGAGGACAAAAATATAACATGCGTTTTAATAAAAAATAATAATTAAAAGTTAATAAATGACACATAAATAAGACTAATTTATTATTTCAAATAAATTTAGCCGATTATTGGTATAATAACACCTGTGTACTCATACATTGCATGTTTGAAGTGGAGAATTTTCAAGTTTTGGTAAACTAGTCACATGTGAAATGTACATTACTGAAAACATATTCACCGTATTTTTATACGGGTATGGTTAAATAAATTTGAAGAAAAATGCGTTAATCAGCGAATTTTATATAATTATTGGAACATAGCTATAAACTATCACATTAAATACTAAATATGTAGTTAGTTAGAAAAAAATAATCAAATATACATATCTGTTTCATTTGAAAGATAAATTGTATTAACGTGTTTCACAAGAAAAGACGTCTAAGAACTACTTATGTGACAATAAACAATATATCGACAATGATGCCACAATGTTCGGATTACTTTAAAGAATTAAAACTTCTTGGAACAATATTACATGCTTAATTACTAAATGATTACGAATTATTAAGCACTACTCACTTTATTCATTTTGTGGAGATGCTCAACCTAAAATTAAAACCATAAAATTCAATCATATTACAAAATGCTTACAAAAAACAAACACAGCTTAGTATAATAGCAATTAGATTATATAAGTTTTATTTATAATAGTTACACGTGTGGTATCAAACGTACATGGTGTTCCAGAAGTATGGACCTATAGGGAAAATAGACATTATATTCTTAAAGTTAAACAAACACATTTTTAATGTCAGTTCTGATGGAACATTATATCAAGAATTGATATGTGTATGGCTGTTAATGGCATGCAATTTGAATAATAAATAAATTAAGAATAAATTGTGTATTTTTTTCCTATGGGTCCAGACTTCTGGGACACCCTGTATTTTATTTCGAGGTCTATAGAGGCACTGGAAGCACGAAACTGGAATAGTACAAACACTACTTGGATACTTAAAGCAATAGTGAAAAAAGAAGAAGCAAACAAGTTGTGGGCAGTGAACGCTAAAAAGTCTGAAAAACTAAGTGCTTAATCTTTTCAGTACATCTTAAGCAGTATATAAAGGTTAGAAAAAGTAAAATATAAAGTGCAAATATATATATATATATATAAACATTGTCTTCCTATTGTAACAGAACTGAACTTCTTATTTTGCGTGCAAAATCTTAAGTTTACGTTCAAGATTAAAGGCATTATGTAAATTGTAAACGATGTATACAATGTGGGTATTTCAACTTATTTAAACGTTGACTCACAACACAACAGCCGCTCAAAGCTCGCGGTAAAGTGGATAAAATCACCTAAAGATCATAATGCCATGATAATCTGTATGCCGTAATTTTATATACCTTGATTAATCGAAATATTATTTTCGAACACACCATTTCATTACAAGTGTTTTAATGTAGAAAATTTTTTTTCAGCGCGTTCAGTTATTACAATACAAATCACACTAGTGAGGGAATAAGCATAACATGTTACACAAGGAGTACTAAAATAGATATTGACTCATTTATAGTCCAAAGGAAAACAATAATAAGTAAATATTTAACTTATTAATTACCTCATTTTTTAGTGCTTTAATTTGAGACGCCATCTGTTGGCTCTCGCTCATTATTTCTTGTATATTCACATATCTTTCTTTCCACTTTGATATTTCTTTCCAAAAGCTGTCATTAGTTGGCGTCGTTTTCTCAAACAATTCCTGATAAAAGAAAAAAAGAGAGTATATATAAAAAGTGACACATATTTCAAATACAAACCAACATGATTTTAAAACTTTGATATTGGTAATAGCTAGAGGTACCTGAAGAAGACAGCCCAATGTCGAAACATATAGTATGTTCTCCCAATAATTGTTTATTTGTTTTGAACTTCGTGCAAAGCTACACGAGGGCTATCTGCGCTAGCCGTCCCTAATTTAGCAGTGTAAGACTAGAGGGAAGGCAGCTAGTTATCACCACCCACCGCCAACTCTTGGACTACTCTTTTACCAACGAATAGTGGGATTGACCGACACTTTATAACGCCCCCACGGCTGAAATGGCGAGCATGGTTGGTGTGACGAGGATTCGAACCAGCGAAGTCGAGCACCCTAACCACCTGACCATGCCGGGCCGTGTTCTCCCAATAATAAATTACTTTATTGTACTTATAAATAGTTGTTTGCCAACTTGTTATTATATTAGCATTATGTGCTTCCTCACTCAACCTGGAGAAACAGACACGTAAAATAATTCTCACCTCTTCAAGCTTCAGTATATTTAATCCTGCTTCCTTAAACTCACACTGTAGGCGGACTTTCTGGTCCAAGTCGTGAGTTCTTAGGAGAATCGTGTTGATTAACACAAGGACAGCGCACTAGGAGAAACAAATAAATAGTTACCGTATAGAGAACTTGGCTATATTAAACAATCATATTGTCAACAAATTCACTCAGAACCTCGTGAGAAGTATAAAATCAGGCGACCTTACAGTGGAAAGATTGGTAGCGAGAAACAAACGTTCATAGGAAAATAAGTTTCTTACTTACTTTAAAATCAGTTGAATTACGTGTTCCCGACTTCAACATTGACATCATGAACTTAAACCGTACCGATTCACCATAAGCCAGTTTTACAGATGTCATAGCTTCAAGAACCCTTTCGTTGCCATCAAAAGAAGCTTGACAGACAGTTGTCAGTAGCTGAGAACAAAGTGTCTTTAAAACATTGATAAATGAAAAAAGCAAACATTTTGTTTCAAATGAGAAACATCATTAATAGATCTCAAATATAATTGTTATAAAAATTGTTCTTGCTTGCGGTTAGAGGATTTCAATGCAAAACTAATATTATAAAGTTACAGAGAACGTGCGATAGTTTAATGTGTAAATAAATCAAAATAAATAATATAAGGAATAACCTTGTAAACATAATTAGGATATTGCGAATATAATTTATTGCTTAACAATTTTAAAGCGCCTATAGTTGTCTTTCCCCTGCGTTTCTAAACAATACGCTCGCGACAGTTGTTTTCTATAATTTGTTACTGTAGCATTTATTTTTTTATTAGTCATCCCAGCTCATGTCTCTCTACGCACCTTTAACAACAGTTGTTTTGGAGATGAGTAAGTGAATTAATAGGTTAAGATGCCTTTGAAGCTTAAATAAACATTTGTTCATAAAATGTTGCTTGCAATATAACCAATAATACGTAACAAGGCGGCATCTATCGGCGTTTTGAAAAAATAAACTTGTAATTTCATTCGACATCATCAAGTAATAGTAAACTGACAAACAACGATTTATAAGCATAATGAAGTGGTTTTATTTTGGGGAACATACTAACTGTTTTTACAGAAAATTGGTCTGTCTTCTGAGAAATAAAAAAAATTTCGTGTTAGAAAACAGACCAACGTTCTATCGAAACACGTAGTATGTTCCCCAACATAAAATACTTCATCATGCTTATAAATTGTTGTTTGTCGGTTTACTATTACATTAGCATAATTGGCTTCCATACACAAGATATTTAGTAATATTATAAGAGCCTGTTCACATTCTTATAGTCATTAAAATTTTGACAAAAAGGGTATTTACCAATTTCTAAGAGGTCTTCAAAACACTATGATTGAAATTTATAGTTAGGTGATGTAAAATTCATAAATCATAATTTTGTTTATCAATAAAACGCATAATTTGTCAATGGTGATTGTTTAATTCCACATCAATGTACAAAATTTAATTAGTTATTAAAAGTTTACATGTGCTGAGTAATTTAGAAATTTTCTATCTTGCAGAAGTTACAGATAATAACTGGTTCGATACAATTTAATATAAAAACTTTTGAATATATATATATATATATGTAAGATGTATAGTATTTTATTCAATTCTCCAACTATTCTTACCTGCAGCGCCAGCAAACGAGATTTTCTGCAATTACTCGTGATGCAAAATGCCAAAGTGGAAAGTCCATTAGAGTGTTTCATGACCATGGTAACAGCCTCCTAAAAATATTAAACCAATTTTGTAGAATTTGTAAAGGTGATTTTACTATAGAAGCTCCTAAAATTTTATATTGTTATTCATCTGATACAACTACAGTATCTATTTGATGCGGCAGAGAAATAAGCATCATATGACTACTATATTTTTAATGTGTCAAGTTATATAACCAGGAATTATGTAGTTAAAGTATATAAGAAATAAGCAACATATGACTACTGTACTTTCAATATGTCAAGCTATTGAAAGTATAGTAGTCATAGGAATTATGTAGTTAAAGTTTATTTGTATATATATATCTTCAGTTAGGTGTTAATCATAATACATTACTGCTTCAAATGTAACTTCCGTCTCCATCTGTTCAGTAACAATTACCAAATTATTCTGTGTCATTTGGTACACGTAAGGACAAAAACTACATTTCAAATTACACCCAAATAAGATAAAAATAAGTATTTGGGGGTTTCGGAAAGTTATTAACTCAAGCTTTTTTGTTCTTGAACTAAGCTTACATGAAAAGTTTATCGATACTCATTCGAATCGAAAATCTTATGAGAAAATTTTCGTTGAGAAACAGAGATTTCTTTTGTATTATTTCAGAAAGTTTCTTTTCGCACTTGGATTACACTAAAGATATCTCTGAAGTACGTAATACAGTCCTTGCTGGAGTTTCAGTCACAATATATAGTGCTGTTTGTACCATCAAATGAAATAATCTGCCGATCAAATGTATTCCCTTTCATAGTAAAAAAATGTTAGCAATCACCCTATGGTCTTGTCCCAATAAGAGTCATGTTCTAGTTTACAGATCTCAACTAAATGACATCTGGTAAGCTGTTATCTGTGTAGTCTTTCAAATACACTCGCATTATAAATAGGAGAAATAACGACACGATAAAATACAAGCAAAATATATAAGATGGGCAAATATATAAGATTAGACAAAAACACAAATTTTATTACAATTGGCAGATGGAGATAGGAAGAAACGGTATGAATATCAGTGCAAAGAAAAACATTTGTTCATATATTTTGGAAATACTGAAAATGGAAGGAAAGAAGCTGACCTAAACATTGTTTGAAAGTCATCGCAAAAGGAATAGTAAACAGCAGAGACTAGGGATAGAAAATGAACAGAACATTTTCTGAGAGTGGAAATCCTGAAATATGTGGAATAAAAACCGAAAGAAAACAAGTTGTAAAAATATATTAATGAGGCGATAATGAAAAAACTGAGTTAAACTTATATCAAAATTGGAGTAGGATTGAAAAGTCTATACATTGAACCTATTATAAAAACATAAAACAAGGAGGTAAGGATTTTGTTTCAGATATTCGTGCAAAGTTCACAAAGGTTGTTCGCGTGTCGTTCCTAATTTTTAACTCATAGACTATAGGGATGGCAACAAGTCAACAGCACTCACCACCTACAACTCTTAGGCTACTATACTCGAATAGTGGGATTAGCTCGTCACTCTTATAACACACCCACGGCTCCAAATTGCATGAGGGGCGCAATTGTTTTGGGAGGAGGCAATTGGATGCAAACCGTGGACCACTGTATCCATAGACCAGCACTCTAACCGCTAGGTCACACACAGCCCAGTTATAAATAGAATGATATATAAAAGCAAAAGAAGCTTGAAAGAAAATCAACTACAGAAATATTAAAATGTGGTAATGCGCTAAACAGGCAAAAAAAAATGTAAAGGAGGTAAAGAGAAAATGTAGAATTTGTAAAGAAAAGCAAGAGACAATTATACTGATATCGAATTGTAGGTGAATGGTAGTAAAACAGTGAATTTAAATAGATAAACGAATTTATAATAAATTAAAGCATAATTGATAAGAGGCTAAACTGTATGAATATTTAAAAAAAATTAACATTTTTATTTAATCAATATAATTATACAAAAATAAAAGAAATGTAATATTTATTGTAAAAGACAATCTTCCTCACAAAGCTGGAGGCCTAAGCGAAGTATGAATTTATTTTAAGAACACGATAATAATGGAAGATAACAGAAGTTAGCTGAAGGCATTATACATATGTATATTAAAATGTTTTTAGAATCACATAGTTCCTGTAGAAAAAAGAAGCAATAGAACGCTCAAATACTGACTTCATGAAATCATTCCTAAAGAAATGTTAATTTTGCATCACTTAGCATTAAGTCACAAAATTTGTACAAAACTTACCTTTAGTTTTATGCAGTTTTTCAAACATAAAAGGCATTCGTGTTCTTCGCGCTGAAAAACAAAACAAACACTGAAATACATTGCAGCATTATCACAATTTTTAGACTAATATAATCTGTATCACATCATCTAGCTACAATCGGGATAACTATAGACCTTAATTATTATCCAGCTCTACTAAATCCTAAAAACATCCCTAATTCAATAACAACTGTTTAAATAAAATAAATGATACATAACAACTTGAACTATCCTTATCAAGCCATAGCATCAAGCCAGTGCCGTACTGATGTTTGATGGCGCCCTGTGCAACGTATACATTCGGCGCCCCCTAAACTAACCCATTAGTTCGCTTTGTTAGTCAATCGAGCAATCGGCGCCACTTTCTAGTTGCTGCTCTGAGCCAACGCTCTGATCGCACTACTCATGGCGCGACCCTGCATCAAGCAGCTTATTTGGTTGTTTGTTTTGTTGTTAAGCACAAAACTATACAATGGGCTAGCTGTGCTGTATCCACAACTGGTATTGAACCCGGTTTTTAGCGTTATAAGCCTTCAAATTTACCGCTGAACCATTGGGGGGCAAGCTTATTTGTATTATCTAAATCGTACCTTCAAACTTATAGATATAATAGGGATTTGGCGCAATTAACATTACTCCAGAGAATTAAAGATTTCTTTGTTTGTTTGTTTGTAATTAAGCACAAAGCTACACAATGGGCTATGTGTGTTCTGCCCAATACGGGTATCTAAACCCGGTTTCTAGCGTTGTAAGTCCGCAGACATACCGCTGTGCCACTGGGGAGCAGAATTAAAGAAGCACTACTCTATAGTTAAATTTTCCTTAACCAAACAAACAATAGTATTGAAATTACAGTATATTGTAGCGATATCTCTTATTCACTGAATACAGATAATAAACCAGTTTCATTGTCAGTGTATCATTTGTTATAACCCTTGAAACATAAGTAACCCTAAACTCAAAATATCGAATTAGCCAAAATTAGTGTCTGGCTAAATCAACCTGAAAGAGTCATGTTTGTTAAACTAGGAAAACAAATTACTTATTAATGAGTACTCAAATTCCCACCCTTCTCCATCACTTGGATTGATGCAGGCTTTTCTTATGAAGAGCGTATTTCCGTCCAGTCGGCAGACAGCTTTATAGCAATCAACTGTCATTACAATGCCAAATGTTGACTTAAATAATTTCCCTGATGATTTAGATCAGCATTTCTTGCTAGCCAATCCAAGACTTAAAGACGTGTATCACAATTCTGACAGTATGCCATCTGACATCACCCCGTATTAGAACAAATTCTAGTCCAATTACGCCCGAGAAAGCTTTTATACCTTGAACTAAATACTGCAGATGTCACTAAACAGTACATCAGCTCCTCATACGTTGAGTAAGATCTATACATCTATTCACACTTATGCCTCACCACACTATAACAAAATTGCCAACGAAACGGTCTTAGTCGAAATTATTGCATCGATCAGATCGTTCATTTCTGGTCTCTCACACAACCGTCTACCATTACTAGAAAAATGAAACCCTAACACATTTGAAAACGGCATTCTTATCGATTCCGGCGATTTCGACAAAAAATTCAACCAGGTATGCGATAGATTGCAGGAAATTAAGTAGGCCTATGTAGATCTTCTAAACTTAAAGGCAAAAGGGTGAAGTCGATACCTTACGGTTTGGTCATTCATAATCACCTCACTTGCTGCTCTTAAGTCTATACTGAGTCCTCACAATGTGGACTAGTGCTTTCTAATGGTCATAATTTGCAGGTAGCGGGAATTATACGGCTTAATTGACCTTCCATGACTTTGCCTAAGTAATTTAGTGTGTAGATTAGTTGTATGATATCTTGCCCACAACTTTCTCGCATCAAAATTACCTGACACTTGTTTCTATACTTAATTCGTTTCGAATATTGAAACAGTTATGGTTGCTTGTCCTTTCATCAAAAATCTCCAACCGTCACTAGCAAGTAACAATGTCACAAAAGTGGTATGGGAATATTAACTAAAACTGAAATGGTCACCAAAATAACAAGCAGCAAATGATTAAGTAAATGATAAACAATTTCTATTTTCATTCCAGGTTGGGCTAGCTGTTAGAAATAACAGAAACAAATATTAAAATAATTAATATTATACGGAAACATGTGTTAGCTGAGTTTTTGCGCAGATCTTAAAATATAACGTTCCTAAATGGAAACATCGGCACATGTAGATATGTAGATCTTGAAAGTCGAGTTGTTC